GATCATGTTAGGGAAACAAAAAGCTACCCTTCATGAATTTCAATCACTGACAGGTCTTTTGAGTTTTGCCTGTAGGGTTGTAGTTCCAGGACGAGCATTTTGTGCTAGACTGTATAGGGCTACTGCAGGGATAGTGGCCCAGCATCACCACATTAGAATCACAAGGGGCATTCATGAGAATTTGAAGGTTTGGTACTCTTTTTTGGAGCATTTTAATGGCATATCATTTTGGAGATCTGAAATGCTGCTTCGGGCAGATTTTCAGGTGCATTCTGATGCTGCTGGTGCCCATGGCTTTGGAGTTTATTGGAATGACCAGTGGGCTGCAGAGGCATGGCCTGCTGCATGGGTTAAAAGTGGTCTGACTAGAGACCTTACATTCCTGGAACTGTTTCCAATTGTGGTGGCTGTGCACTTGTGGGCAAGCCAGTTTGCTAATAGGACTGACTGGTTTTGGTGTGACAACCAGGCAGTTGTATATGTTGTAAACTCTTAGTCCTCCAAGTCTCCCAAAGTTATGGGTTTGGTAAGGGCGATGGTGTTACAATGCTTGAATTATAATGTGTTATTTAAAGATCAACATGTTCCTGGTTTGCTTAACCCTTTGGTGGATGCCCTTTCTCATTTTCAGTTCTCCAGGTTCCGGCAGCTGGCTCCCGAGGCTTCGACACACCCGTTGGAGGTACCGGCATCACTCTGGAACCTTGGAGATTAGAAGTTCATAGGGCAATTTTAAACTCCATTGCCCAGTTAACACACAAGTCCTACCAACAGCTTTAAATTTGTTAAGCCAATTTTTGCAGGAAATTGGAGAGGCTCTAAAATGTCCTATTGATGTTGACTTGGTCCTTCACTTTATTGTATATCTTAAGCAATCAGGACTCTTACCTGTCCCTATAAGGGGCAGGTTAGCTGCCCTGGCATTTTACTCTAGGGAAAAGTGCTGTTTTGACCCTACTAATGACTTTAGGGTCAAAAGAGCAGTGGAAGGATGGTCTAGAGAATCCCCTGTCACAAAGGATTCACGAAGGCCAATAACTGTCCTTGTCCTGCTTAAGTTATGGGATCAATTAGCCCAAACATGTTATTCACCTGGGGAAGAGGCTTTATTTAAAGCAGTATTTGCCATAGCCTTTTTGCTGCTTTAAGAATCAGTGAGATTGTGCCTGGATCTCATAATGATAAATCTGGCAGGGCACTATCAATCTCTGATATCAACCTAACAGGACAAGGGATTCAAATTCACCTTAGGTGTTCTAAGACTGACCAATTTGCAAAAGGTCAGTCTATTTTCTTGGCTAAAGCACTGCAAGGTCAAATTTGCCCAGTGGTGGTGATGAGTAACTATTTGAATATTAGGCCTAATTTGGCTGGATACTTGTTTATTCATTTGTCTTGTTTGCCCTTAACCCAATTCCAATTCAGGGCTATGTTAGAGAGACTATATGGAGGGCTGAGTTGCCTCAGAAATGTTTTTCCTCACACTCCTTTTGTATTGGAGCTGCAACAGCTGCGGACACTCATGGCTTGAGTGAAGCCAATATTTGCAGAATTGGCAGGTGGCGTTCACATGCATTTAAGTCCTACGTTAGGCAGTCAGGTAATGGGTCTCCTGATAAGCCACATTGACTTGTTTTGTTTTATTTCAGCTGGATTTTACTGTGGCAAAATCTGGATAGTGAGACACAGCCTGGTCTTCTGGGTGGAATATCACCTTTTGGAGCATTGCTGTGACAATACATTGGGCCTTGCCCATATTGGACTTACTGAGTGGTTTGGACAAAGGGGCATGATGTGGGGATCTCTCCTTCCACTTATTATGGAGTTCGCATGTTCAGGTTCTCAACCCCAGGTTTTGGTGGCACACCTGGGGGAGAATGATTTAGTTTGGACTCCATGCTTGCAGTTGGCCAATCAAATTGTTAAGGACATGGAGAAAGTCCAAAAGATCTTGTTGGGAGCTGTGATCCTGTGGACCAAACTTGTGCCAAGGTGTTGCTGGCCTGGAGTACAGAAGGACTCAGCTATTAATAATGCTTGGTACTGGCTTAACCATTACATAGCTAAGCAGCTTTCTAAATTGGGTATTTTTTTATTTTTATTTTTATTT